TTTTCACTTGTTTGTTGCTTTCTACATATTTACCATCTGTACAATGCGGATACTGAGCAACATCAGATGAGTCAATATCAGCTCTTTTTGCCTGCCTTACCTCTTCCTGTTTCCAGGCATACGACTTCTTCATCCCCTCCACCCGCAGCATCGTCTGTACATTAAAAGTGTTAAAGTACAGCCGGCAAATACTAAGAAGTCGGTAAAACTGAAAGTAAAACATTCATACCTTAGCCAGCTGGGCAGGATGCGGTCAACATTGAACGCATGTATAGTCGGGATGGCCTCCTTGTCTTCCTTGGAGACGACCTTCAGCATGGCCTTAGAAAACTGTTGTACATCTGGCCATCGGGGAGACATATCTGCACCAGAAAGAGATGGTGAGAAAGCAGCATAACCGCCTCCAATAGATTGCCGGCTGCTAAAGGAACCTTATGACTGAAGACGAGAATGTGACTTGAGCCGCATGGGCCAGCCAAGCTCAAGGGAGTTGAAGAATTTAGCAATACCTTGGTGAGGCGGCTGAAGGCTCAAATCGCCTGCAGCCCTAGGGGGAGGGACACCAGACGGCGCTGTAGAAGCATCCAGCTGGGAGGCAAGGTCTACGCATATTTGTAGACTCTTTCCTCCAATAGACGCCCGGGAAGCCGTCTAAGCAGACAAGGTCTTCCTAGACTTGTTGCCAGAAATCTCCTCACCAGACCTGGGAAAGGGATCTAGGAGCCCTGTCTCCCTCCTAGAAAACGAGTCAGAAATTAGACATAAAGTTGGGACCAGGCACAAACTATACAAATGGTTTATCACCGTCTGTACCCCAAGAAATAAAGCAATAAATTGGAAGTTAAGTCAGGCGATTAATACCTTATTTTTAGCCGCCTGCGCGACTCTCTTCTTCTCCGCATTCTCCCTGCGGATGTCTGCGGCGGACTTAGCAGGCGTTTTGTCCACTAGAAGCATGTTTAATGCAGTTTCTGCAAAAGAAAACCGTCTGTTAGATCATAGATCAAGAAAAATACAAGTTACAAAAGATAGAGACGGCAAAGCATAGCCGAAAAAGCTATCTACATACGTCTGTTAAATTGGGTGCTTAACCCACAAGCGGACAAAAACGCCTCGTCCCTCAAAAACTCATGTTTAGGTACCTTGTTTTAGGATACACTAATTAATTCTCCGGTTGAGAGAGCGGTGGTTGTAAGTTTAAAAAACCTCGCCTCTATTATTTTTTCATAATCCTCATTCGGGATTTGAGGTAACTTGCACTTCTGCCCTAGAAGGTCTGGTTTCCGATTGTATGTGCGAAGTTCAAAGTTTTCTCACTTAGTGGGGGCAGAAACCAAATAGAAGCGGGTTTTTCAGTCTGACCACCTAGACGGTTTGTCTAGGGTCATCAGGTATTTTGGGTAAGTGGTTAAGGTGTACCATGCACTCAACCCGCCTAGACTTCGGCTTAGATAGTGCATCTTGGCAAAGGCCTCCCAACCGAGATGGAGACCTTGAATCTCGCAGGCGGCGATGTAGCCCAAAATGTTAACCTAGGAGTTTGGGGTTAACTGCCACACGCCTAGGCCATATCCTCTAAGGATAGCCTTTATTGCATTATGAAGGGGGAAGTGGAGCCCAACCAAAAATGCCGCCTCATAGCAGCCAAAACATTTATTGGCGCCTAGTTGGTCGTCATTCCAGGCTATGGTCCCCAACTCAGGCGTCACCCGGATGGTATATCCCGCTAGGGGTGTACAAAAACTAGGTCGGACCTGAAACCGGACCTGAACCGGACCGGACCTGACCCGGACCTGTTGATTCAGGTCCGGTCCCGGTTCTTAAAAATCCAGGTTCCCGGTCCCAGTCCGGACCCGGTCCAAACCCAGGGTTTTCAGGTCCGGACCTGAAACCCGGGAAAATCGTAATTTTTTTTTTTTTTAAAAAAAAAACCAAACTCTGAAAAATTGAAACTAATGTTAACACTTCTCTTTCATTTTTCTAAGTTCTAACCCTAACTCCCTAAGCCCTAACTGATTCTCTCAGTCTCCCTGAATCTCAACTTCTCAACGCGGTTGTCGCTCATTCGCTCCGGCCACCGCCCAACGCCGTGATACACATTGATAATATCCAGTAAGTATTCGCTTATAATTTTGGTATTTTTAATTCGAAATAATAAATTTAAGTGTGAGAATTTATATGTTTATTCTTGTTTCAAATTTTCAATTGCTTTTAATGATTGTTTGATGTTTGCATGTTGAATTTCTTATTTTTAGTTCATCTCTTTCGAATTTCTGTTTTTTTTTTTTTTTGGTTTTTTTGAGTTTAGGGTTCATAAGAATTAAGAGGTTTAGGGTTTAGGGTTCAAGTTCGAAATTTAGTTCGAAATTTTGTGTTTATTATGATTATTAAGATTAATTTAGTGCGAAAATTGAAAGGAATGGTGTCCTTCCAACAAGTGTATTCTTCCAGTAGAGGGTTCATAATTATTACAGAGCTAATTCTTCAGTAAGGTCAAGTGATCGGAATGCCTAGGTGGAGGCCGCATCCGATCAGTAATATCAATGTGCATTTGATGTTACAGCTTAATCTTAACTGAACCCTTCGGGTCGAACCCAATCGAACCACCGGTCCGAGATGACGAATTAATCCGAAAGGATTTAATGAGTCAGCAGAGTTTTACGAATACAGACGTCGGAAATCGAGCCTAGGGCGTCGAGACCGAGCGTCGCAAAATCACAAGCGACAAGTACGAATGTAGCCGTAGCACCACAATGGTCTAACCATGTGGATGCTAGGCTAGTTCGAGCTAGAATGCACCTAGCATGGCTAGGCGCACCATCGCAAGCTCAAGGCGCACCATCGCAGCCTAGGTGCACCATCGCAGCCTAGGCATGCGCATGGCAGCCTATCGCAAAGCACCACAAGCCCCAGGCAGCCCATCGCAAGCGCCACAAGCACCAGGCAGCCCATCGCAGCTAGCAGCATGCTAGCCTGGGTGCCTGGGTGCATGTGGCAGGCTATCGCAGCAGCATGGCACCACGCACAGCACCATCGCAGTGCTAGGCACATGCGTGTGTGCATGTGCGTGTGCACCATCGCCCAGCAGCACGCAGCTGTGTGCTTGTGTGCGTGCCTTCGCATGGCAGCACCAAGCACAGCGAGCTAGCAAGCAACGCTGGCCTTGCGTGCACGGGCACCATCGCAGGCCATGCACCAAGCATAGCGCACCTATGTGTGTGCGTGCGTCGCACCAAGCATAGCAGTGCTAGGCACTGGCTGATGCGTGTGCGAGCGTTGCGTGGTGCATGGTGCGTAGGATGATGTGAGGGAAGCGCCAGCATGCGTGGCTCGCTAGCAGCACGCATGCTGGCTGTGCTAGCAATGACGCGCAAAGGAGGTGTGCGTGGGCTGCTAGGGCCAGTGCCAGCACTATGTGCTAGCAGCGCCCAGCGCCAGCACACAAGCACCAGCACCAGCCCAGCAACAGCACACACTGGCTGGCTGGTTGGGTGCTGGGCAGCAGGGCACTGCTAGCTAGCACGCTAGCTGGCAGCCAACTAGCCCTCTCTTAACCCGGTTTGTGCAAGGTTGTGGGGAGCAAGGCATATGGTCCCCCACCTAACCTTGGCCCCCACTCCTTTGCATGAGAACATGCCACTTGTCGCAATATGATTAACTTGATTATTTATTTAATTTGGAAATTAAATAAATGATTAATTTTCAACACTCCCACATTGGTGGAGGATGAAAAATCAAGGGTTCATTTCCCTATAAATACCATGCTTGGGTATTGGGAAATGAACAACCTTGAGTGGAATTAAAAAGGCAACTCTAAGAAAGAATAAACCTTTGATTCATAAAACTCATAGTTATTTTGTCCGGGTCTTGACTAACCTTCAAGACTTAGGACGCTCGGGTCGGGTCGAGGGTACGATCCGTCGGAGATCTCGTGTTTTCGGGATTTTGAAGTAAGAGATCTTTGGGAGCGAAGCACGCGTCAAAGGTATAATTCTTGTTCTTAATCTTGTTTGATTAAGTTTAATATGCTTGTTAATTGTTTTAATTAAGGGGCGGGTCTTGGTGGGTTTCCTTCCGCGTAGTGTCGGGTCACTACGAAACCCTACAAAAAATTGTGTTTATTCCTAAAGTATAAGTTATTCAAGGTAATATATGTCTGCACTTGAATTTGTCTTGATGATGAGAAATACAAAAAAATCCATCATTATCTCAATCAATATTTCTGTATAATACAGAAAACTGCTAAGTATGTACTCTACTGTAACATAATGCGGCACAACTTACTACTTCGTAATAAATTTTGATCGTTGAGAAAATTTTTGGATGAGTAGTGAACTAGTGATTCATTATATTAATCATTGTTTGGTTTTCTAATGAATAATGAATGGACTTGCACTTATTAAACTAACTCATACTCCGTATCATATACGCTATTTACCCGGTATTGATATTTCTAATGTGTATATATGGACACTTTCTAAGCTAACTTATACTTTAAAATTTGTGTTTATTCCTGCTAGGCTGCTAAAAGTATAAACTAAAACATTGAACAATGAACATAAACTTGTTAAGAACCAATAAACTTGTTAAGAACAATGAACAAATTTTGGCTGATTTTATTGTAATGAATGTGTATTTTTTGGGGTTTTAATCAAGTATGTTTTGTAAGAGACTCAGATTATTAAATAAATAAACTAAGTGCATGATTTGTAAGAGACTTAGATTATTAAGATTAAATAAGTTAGCTAACCTGTGTGTAGTTCAGGGGTTCTTATTTTTGTTTTTATTCTTGTAGGGAGTGAAGGAAGTCAAGGAACCACAGATTCTTATTCTTGCAATGTAAGTTGCTCTTAAATTTTTTTATAAAATGGTATGTGTATATAATTGTTACTTTGAAATTACTTATATTGTATATAATTATATTGTAGATGGAGAGCTCTCAATCCAAATGATCTGCTTCTTTTTCTGAACAAACGTCACAACCACTTTCTGAAAAGGATATGGAAGAATTGCAATCTACTTTGCCTCCTGATAGGAAGCTAAAAGCGGGGCGGGAATATATATGGAACAGAAAAAGTAAGAGGAAAGCTGAGTATTGGAAATATTACTTAGAGTACGTCGAGAATGGAAAACTACGAGCTGAATGTAAGTTTTGTCCTAAAACTTTTGCTGCTGATGGTAATCTTAATGGTTCAAAAAATGTTAAAAACCATGCAGAATCATGTCTCGGTAATCCTATTAATATAGAAAAAGAAAAGGGCAAAGAAAAGCAAACTAAATTGTATTTTGATCAAGAACATGAGAGTGGTGAATTAAAGTGTGGGAGTAGGATTATTAACTTGAATGATGTTAGAGATGCATTGATTCACATGATTATTGTTGATGAGTTACCATTTAAGCATGTGGAAAAACCCGGTTTTAGGCACTTTGTGCAAGTTGCATGTCCACAATTTCACATTCTATCTCGTGTTACCATTGCTCGTGATTGTTTAAAGTTGTATTATAGTGAAAAAGAGAAATTGAGAGAAATGTTTAAGACATGTCAAAGAATTTCTGTGACCACTGATACTTGGACTTCAATACAAAGAATTGATTATATGTGTCTTACAGCTCATTTTATTGATAATGACTGGAAATTGAATAAAAAGATCATAAATTTTTGTCCAATTTCTAGTCATAAAGGAGAGGCTATTGGAAAAGCAGTTGAGGCATGTTTAGAGTATTGGGGTATTGATGATAAACTTTTTACTGTCACTGTTGATAATGCTTCTTCAAATGATGTTGCTTGTGCACACTTGAGTAGAATGGTTAGAAGAACAGGATGTATTAATGATGGAAAAAATCTTGATGTTAGATGCATAGCTCATATCATTAATTTAATTGTGTGGGATGGTATTAGAGAACATGGTGTGTGCATTGATAGAGTTAGAAATGCTGTGAAATATGTTAAGAATTCCCCTACAAGAATACTTAGATTCAAAGATCTTGTGCAAAAAGCAAACATAAATTCAAAATCTTCTTTATCCTTTGATGTCCCCACTCGTTGGAACTCCACATACATAATGTTGGAAACGACTTTGAAGTTTCGACGTGTTTTTAGTGGGTTATCTCTTCCTGATGGAGAGGATTTGAATGACAATGAAAGGCCTCCCGAACCCAAAGATTGGGAAAAAGTGGAGAGGTTGGTTTTGTTTCTAGAGGGGTTTTATCTGTTGACTAAACGAATTTCTGGTTCCCATTATGTGACAGCTAGTAAAGGTTTAGGAGAAATTGCTTCTATGTATGATATGTTGAATAATTGGGAACAAAGTAAGGACTTGAAAAAAAAGTTTGATAAGTATTGGGGGGATGTGGATAAGATGAATAAGTTCATTTATGTTGCTCTTCTTCTCAACCCTCACTCTAAGATGGTCATTGTTGAATTGACACTAATGGATATGCATGGACCGGAAAAGGGTACAAAACTTGCTAATGATGTGAAGGAGTTCGCTTACTCTTTATTTGAGGAATATAGAAAAATGTATGCTACTTCTAATATTCCAGATTGTGGAGATAATATGTCAATGGATATTGATAATAGTAAAGGAGTGGGTTCTGATTATGTGAGGAAACTAAAAGAAAGAGCAAAACGATTGAAGGGGACAAGTGGGTATGCGATTAGTGAGTTAGATAGGTACTTAAATGATCAATTAGGGCCGAAGGAGGAAGAACAAGATGCATTGACATGGTGGGGTAAGAATGGTCAGCGTTATGTGATTCTTAATCGCATGGCATGTGACATACTAGCCATCCCATTGTCGACCGTTGCATCGGAATCTGCTTTTAGTACGGGAGGTCGTACTCTAGATCCATTTCGGAGTTCTTTAACTCCTAAGGTAATGCATTGTTATCTTTTTATTTTATAAAATCAAGTTTGTTTATATCTTAATATGACTTTGTTTATACATATTTGTGTAATATTTTTGTATTGAAGATGGTTCAAGCGCTACTTTGCACACAAGATTGGCTTAGAGCTAAGGAAGTGTCAATTGTTGATGTGGAAGAAAATTTGAAAGTGTTAGAGGAAATAGAGAAAGGTAGTAATAATTCTATGTACTTGAACTTTTGTTACACCAAATTTATTATTTCATTGTTATAAATCATTAATATATTCTATATTGTATTTTATTTAGAGGTGCAACGTGGTGAATCTAACGATGTAAACGATGAAGTTGTTTTCGTGGACTCATTAGTGTGAATCACGCGATCAAAGGGAAAACAACTCGTTGGAGAATTTATGTATTTCTAGTACTTGAGAGTTGAGACTTAAGAGAATTTATGTAATGTTATGAGTTTTCGTGGACTTATTTGTATTTTCGGTGGACTCAATTGTATTTTTGGTGTTTGAGAATCGGGACTTTATAGACTTTATGTAGTTTTGTGATTGATAATTTTGGTTTGTATGTAATTATTAAATTATGAAACAGGTCTAAAAATCACAAAACAGGTCCATATGCAGGTCCAACAAGTTTTTTATTAAAAAAAAAACGAAAAAAATCACAAAACAGGTCCATTCAGGTCCAAACCCCGACCGGACCTGATTTTTCAGGTCTGGCCCGGAACCGGACCTGTTTATTCAGGTCCGGTCCCCGGTCCTCATAATTACCCAATTCAGGTCCCCGGTCCAAACAGGTCCGGTCCAGGTCCGGTCCGATTTTGGACCGGTGTACACCCCTATATCCCGCACCTAGAGGGCACTTGAGTTTAACCGTCTCCAGGTGCCTCTCCATATTTGCTCTATCCTTGGCTGAAATATGGATTTGAAGTGGATCCCCTTTATTATTCCATGTTGGCCTCTCTTCTTCCTCGCTATCCACATCTAGAGTTAGAGAGCTGCTTGAGGCTACAGAGCCAGACCTAAAGGCGGATTCACTCCCGCCTCTCTCAGAGGCACTTCCATCCGCCTCCTCCTGACCAGATATTGGAGACGTCCTCTCCTCCGTCTTCATTTTCGGACTTTAGAATCCCATCACTAGGTGTGCTGGGTGTGCCCATGGAGGATCCTCTTGCCATCTCAGCCTGATCTCCCTCAGGCGGCTTTTCTTCGGTGCTCTCCTCCCTATACTTCAGATCTACAACCGTCTTCCTAGTCCTAGCCATAGTGTCTTACACAGACACGAAGACGGTCGGATTGGGAGATGAGCAAGAGTGATCTAGGCACCCAGAGACGGCTCCCCCAGTTCTAGACTTAGCCGTACCAGGGGACCGGCTGCCCTCTAAACTATGTTGTGCCGTGTGTGCTATTGGTGAATCCATTAATGGAGCAAATGTACACAAACGGAAATATATAAAAGAATTGAGAAGAGGTGAAACGGTACTTATGAGATGAGCTGCGAAGTAGTCAAGCGGTGACCGGCTGAACTAACAGGCGGAAACTGAACAATGGCTAGCAAGATGCTCAGGCGGGGGACCGGTTGTACCCACTTGAAATGCCAAAGCTTGCTCGAAGGGTATACAGGCGGTTCTAAAGAAGAGATAACATGATGTACCCCTTGAAAAAAAAACTGTTTGCAAATTACCCAGACGGTGTACCGGCTGTGAGTTGTGAAATGAAAGCAACTGCTTGCAAGGTATACAGGCGGTTGACAGAGTTTATCTCTCTAAAAAGTGGATGTCTCTCTCTAAGTTTTGGAAATATCTAAAAAAGGGAGGGGTAAAAAATCTATTTATAGAAGGGTAATTCAGGGGGCATCCCCGTAATTTCCCCGGAAGATAAACGGTTAAAAAGCGTCCTCCAATGGCCGCCAGACAGGTGTCACTGGTGCCACGTGACACCCGTGAGGAGAAAATGTTTTGGGTATTTTTACCCAAGACACGTGGTCCAATGGGTATCACTTCAAGAGAGGTTCCCAGAGAACCAATCCCTTGCTGACAAGTGGCATCCCCAATGATTGGGAAAAATGACGGCCTTTCTGGCCCAATTCCCAAGGAAGCCCACCATTCCTAGGTTTCCGTAACCTAGAATGGCGGCACATATTTCGAGACCCTATAAATCGGGAGATGTTCCGATCATGGGACACATTAAAAAAATATTCACAAAAAAACGGAGCAATCACTGATTGTAGATATTCTCCCGGAATCCGAGAAGATACTTTACTTTCCACACTTTTTACAGACTCCATACACGTTCTAACTTGATTATTGGAGGCGGAACTCCACCCACCCGGAGTCTCCGTTATTTTGCAGGTACAGGCGTCCAGAGACCAGTCTTGGAATTGTAAATCACCCGCAGGACATCAAAAAACACCAAAACACCCCTCAATTTAACACAAATTAAATCACAAAGACGAAGCATGTCGGTTATATGCACGAGTTCTTAAAATTTGTTAAGTGGTAGTGCCTTTGTGAACAAATCACCTAAGTTGTTACATGAATGGATCTGCTTGACATCGATCTTTCCTTTCTTTTCCAAATCATGAGTAGAAAAGAAGTTGGGGTCAATGTGTTTTGTTCTATCACCTTTTATATAACCTCCTTTAATTTGTGTAATGCTAGTAGTGTTGCCTTAAAAAATTGTAGTTGGGCTTTCTTCTGTTGTTTTGATGCCGCTCTCTTTGAGTATATGTTGGATTAATGATCGCAACCAGCTTCATAAAGGGCAATCCATTCAGCTTGGTTTGGTGAAGTCGCTGTTAGTATCTGCTTGGTTGACTTTCAAGAGATCGTTGTATTTCCATAGCTGAAAAGATAACCTGTTTGTGATTTTGATTTTACTAGATTTGATAGGTAGCCTGCATTAGCATATCCCACGAGAGTAGGATTTCCATTTTTGGATAGAAGAGCCCTAAATCGATTGTTCCGGGTATATAGCATAGTAGGTGTTTCACTCCATTCCAGTGTCTGCTTGTAGGTTCGGAGCTTTACCTGGCTAACAAGTTTACTGAGAATGCAATGTCTGGCCCAGTGTTAATGGCCAGGTACATCAAAGCTCCTATTGCACTTAAATATGACACCTCTGAACCAAGTACATCTTCACCTTCTTCTCGGGGTCGAAATGTATCATCTTTGATGTTTAGAGAACGAACAATCATTGGTGAACTCAATGGGTGTGCTTTGTCCATGAAGAACCTTTTTAATACTTTCTCGGCATAATTAGATTGATGAATTAAGATACCATCTCTTAGATGTTCAATTTGTAATCCGAGACAAAATTTTGTTCTTCTAAGGTCTTTCATCTCAAATTCTTTCATCATACATTTAGCGGACTCTTCGATTTCTTAAGGTGTCCCGATGATGTTGAAATCATCAACATACATCGCTATTATGTCTGATCCATTTCCGGCCCTTTTGATGAATACACATGGACAAATTTGGTTGTTCTTATACGCTCCTTTGAAAAGTATTCACTTAAACGGTTAAACCACATCCTCTGGGATTGCTTTAAACCGTAGAGTATTTTTTCAATTTTATAGAACGTAGCTCTTGAGGTTTTGACCCATAAAGGTAGTTCAAGTCCTTTGGGGACTCACATGTAAATGTCAGTATCAAGTGACCTATAGAGGTATGTAGTCACAACATCCATTAGACGCATTTATAGTCCTTTGTATGCTGATAGACTTATGAGGAACCTTAATGTTGTGGCATCTACCACTGGTGAATGTGTTTCCTCATAGTCGATTCCCGGTCTTTAAGAGAAACATTGGGCTACAAGTCTGGCCTTGTATCTTTTAATCTCGTACTATTCATTTCTTTTTCGTATGAACATCCATCTATACTCAACGGGTTTCACTCCTTTTGGAGTCTAGATTGCAAAACTGAAAACTTCGCTTTTTGCAAGAGATTTTAATTCAACCTGAATGGCTTCTTTCCATTTTGGTCAATCACTCTTTCGTTGACATTCATCTACTGATAATGGCTTGTTTTCCTCAACATCAGGGATGATTTATGTGGAAATTGAGTATGCGAATACATCATTGACAGAAGTTTTTACTCTATCCCACTGTTTTCTAGTATGGACATAATTTATTGAGATTTCATGATTGTCGACAATTTCGTTTTCATGCTCCCCTCAGATGTACCATCTGACTCTTTAGCTTCATCTTGGGGTTGATGATATTTTCATCATTTTGGATTTGATCCACTTTATTTGAGGAGTTACTTAAATATAAGGATAAGGTATCTAATTTCCATGTTGAGTCTTCAAGCCCTTGGTTGTGATACCCCGTATTTTTAATGTATTTATAATTTATTTATTTATTTATAACATATATTTTGGGTCAAATTATTTTAATTATGGGATTTAAATAAAATGAGTTTTATATTGGATCAATACTTACTCTATCAAATTACAATTTATGTCTACAACAAGCCCAATCATTCTTTTATTTATTTGAGCCAATTATTCCCTCCTACTATCTCTTACGAGGCCTAAATATCTCTAGTTTACCCTACTCTATAAATACTTCTTCAATTCCCAAATTTTGCTCACACAAGAAGGCAAAGAGGTAAAATTTATTTTCTTTTCCTTATTCTTTTCTTTTCCTTTTTTTCTATTATTTTTTCTCTTTCCTCCCTCCCTTGAATTGCAGCAGCCCTCTGGCATGGGAACTACAGCCGCTGCCCCTCCATAGTCGACACCATCGCCCAGCCGGAGCTTCACCACCGGCGTTGTCACAGCTTCTCCTTCATCCCTTCGCTTCCCCTCTTCGCGAAGGAACTATGTGAAGCCTTCCTATTGTTTTTCTCAACCCGCGCGACCTTGCCGTCGTCGGTCGACTACCCAGCCGACCATCCACCTTGTGTGGATATGTAAGACTCTTTCCCTCCCTTCTTCCTCTTGTTGCATTTTATTAATTGTTTTAGTGAAGTGTATGGTTTGATTTTGGTTTTATTAGTTTAAAATGTGATTAATTTAGTATAAAAAAATGTTTTAAATGGGTTTTAAAGCACAATTTTTATATGAATTTAAGTAAAGGTTTTAATTTATAAATGATATGATTTTTAGGGTTCTTATATAAACTAATTTGGGGCTTTTGTGTAATCATTGATTATTAACTAATAATTGAGTATAAAAGTATGTTTTTAATGAAGTTTTAAGAGGTTTTGATTAGTTTAAAATACTGGAAATTTGTCTACTTATTGAATTTTAAAAAGGGGTTGTTAATCACCCATTAAAAGGGAGATTATTTAAGAGTTTTAAAATATTTTTTAGATTATTTAGAGTGATTTAAAGTGAGTTTAAGTTGCTGGAAATTGTGCATACAAGGGTAATTAATGTAGTTTTATTGTCCCTCTATGTAGGAGACTTGTTTTGGGAATTATTCTAATTTATACGACT